GAGAACGCAGTTGCTCTTGATATGATCACAGAGGTCATTTATGTAGAGTATGAAAAGAGTTGGTCCTAGAACACTGCCTTGGGGGACATCACTGTTGACAGGTACAGAATTTGAGATGACGCTCCCAATTTCGACCATTTGTTGTCTGTTTGACAGGAATGCTTCTATCCAGTTATACAGGTGTCCAGAGATACCGTAAGATTTTAGTTTTAGGAGTAGTTTGTCATGTACCACCGAATCAAAGGCTTTACAGAAGTCTATGTAGATTGCATCTATTGCTTTGCACTGATCAAGTTGTATAGTCCATATGTTTTGCAGTGTAAGAGTTGCAGATTACATGACAGTTTTTTCTGAAACCAAATTGTTTATTAGAGAGTAGGTTGTTTGTCTCTAAGTCAGGGGTTCCCAACCTGGGGTGCTTGCACCCCCTGGGGGTGCAAGACGATATTCCAGGGGGTGCGAGAAAAGTTCAGGTAAATAATAGGATATTGGCTATATGTTGGCATTTTTATTTATTATGCATGGATTAACTTTGTTTTCATTTTAGAGTTAAGTATCGTTATTTAGTGGCCGTCACATACATAGCTGAAAAGATTCAATCCTACCATATATTTAACGCGTTCAGTAGTTCCTAAAGTCTAAATTTCAGGGGTGCAAGGTTCGAGGGAAATTTCTTTAGGGGTACGGGGCGAAAAAAAGGCTGGGAACCACTGCCCTACAACAACCAATAGAATACATATTCTTGCACAGGAACAGGAAGTTCAAGTGCAAAGCCTAAGAGAGAGTATAAATACTTCTCTCTCCCAACTCCATGTAGTCAGCTGCTCAGAACCACCCATGTGCTTCTGCTTCATCAATAAATGGACCCTCTTTCCAACCAGCCTCTTTCCGATATCCACTGAACCAGATGGATATTTCTTCCAACAGCATCATTGCTGTGGCATGGCAAATCAGATAAACCTTCTACATTGCCTCTTCCTGGTCTTTTTTTTCTAGTATAATGAAGGTTCCTAAGACCAGATCCTGGCACAGCCAAGTAGTAAGGGTGCTCTGACTCTTGATTTTCTATATCAACTTACTGGCTATATGTCCTATAAACCACTCTCCATTTCCAGCTCTGTGCTGCTACTATTCTAAACCCAATTGAAGTGAAGCAATTTGCACAAAAGTAAAATGCTTTACCTCAAAAGTCCATAGTTGCACTTTGCACAAAGATCAGTTTTACGTTTTTCCCTTTGAAAATAGAGAAGGAACCTGAAGCTAATGATAATTCATAGATAAAAATGGCCAATTGATTTCTTAAACAGAAATCTGTGGAAACCTGTGGAAACTATTTTACAATAAAGTTATGTTTTCCTATTTCAGGAAGATCTTTTGAAAACCTGTTATGCTAAGTTGATAGGTGATGGAATTTTTGAGTGACAGCTGGCATATCATTACTTTCCTGAATGCTAATAGCTTTAGCACAGTGGAAGAACCACCTTTCATTTACTAATACGAGCATTTTACTAGCTCAACACCAGGAAATGGCAAAGAACATTAGCATGTTAATGGAACTTTGCACCCTAAGGCTCTGGCTAATCAGGTCTTAAAAATACATTAGCAATTAATAAGCTCTAGTGGACAGGATTCATTAGCATGTTAATGATACCTTGACAATAAGGTGTGGTTGTCATAAACACTGTGTTTTGTAGCACACAATAGTTCAAACAGTAGCCATTTCAAACTCAGCACAATAAATAGTATAGAATTGTAGAAGATTCTAAAAGATCTTTAAAGTCTCTTCCTGATTCATCAACCAGTTACAAAGGAAGACAGTGTTGGTGAAAAGACACAGGTAGGCCTCGAATTATGACTGGTTGTTTAGTGACCATTCACATTTACTACAGAGCTTGAAAAAGAACTTAGTACCCAGATTCGAAGTTCTGAGATCCACTCCTCCCACTGTCACATGACTGCATTTTTGGAGCTGGGCAACTGGCTCATCTTTACAGTCATTTGTAGCATTTCTGTGGTCAAGTGACTGCAATTTAAAATTTTTGCAGAAACCTGTCCTGAATAGCATAGCATAGCATAGCATAGCATAGCATAGCATAGCATAGCATAGCATAGCGTAGAATTCTTTATTGGCTAAGTGATTGGACACACAAGGAATTTGTCTTGGTGCAAATAGTCTCAGTGTACATAAAAGAAAAGATAAAGTTAATGGTCAAAAATCATCAGGTACAACATTTAATAATAGTCATAGAGTACAATAAGCAATCAAATCATACTAGGAAACAGTCAATATAAATTGTAAGGATGCAAACAACAAAATTACAGTCATACAGTCACAAGTGGGAGGGGATGGGCGATAAGGAGTGATGAGAAGATATGAAAATTAACTTGTAAGAGACTTCAAGAAAATGTATGATAGATATGTAGAATATATAAGAATAATAATTATGGATAAAGATATTAATTAGTGTTGGATAAATGTAAATGCAATGTGATAAGACATATAAGATAATAATTTGCATAGATGTCAGAAATGCTGTTGAAACTATGATGCTTTGAGTTGTAATAATGGAAATACAATAAAAACACAATAAAAAAGAGTGATGAGAAGATTTATAGCAATAGTAATGCAGATTTTGTAAATAGTTGGACAATGTTGAGGGAATTATTTGTTTAGCAGAGTAATGGTGTTTGGGAAAAAACAGTTCTTGTGTCTAGTTGTTCTGGTGTGCAGGGCTCTATAGTGTCATTTTGAGGGTAGGAATTGAAACGGTTTATGTCCGGGATGCGAGGGGTCTGTAAATATTTTCACAGCCCTCTTTTTGACTCATGCAGTATACAGGCCCTCGATTGAAGGGAGGTTGGTAGTAACTGTTTTTTCTGCAGTCCTAATTACTCTCTGGAGTCTGTGTCTGTCTTGTTGGGTTGCAGAACCAAACCAGACAGTTATAGAGGTGCAGATGATAGACTCAATAATTCCTCTGTAGAACTGGATCAAGCAGTTCCTTATTTCCAGTTTCTAAAAAAAAATCCCCATATGAACAATGAGTTTACATTAATAACCCTAATGTTCCCTTAACAGAAACGGTCATAAATTAGGCACAATCATGTGGTGACCTGGTTTATGACCATCACAACTTATGACCAAAATTATGGAGTTAATTACAGTTGTAAGTCAATGACTACCTGTACTGCTTATGGATAAAGTATCTGGATAATTTAAACTGCTGTGTTTTATACAAAAAAAAAATCTGTTTTGATTTTTTTTAGACTAGCATTTTTTTTCAATTTTATTCCAGCAGTAATTCTTAGAATTATTACATGTTTAAATCTGGTGGCTGAGAAGGCAGGAGTGTCCAGTGAAATATGAGATCTGAGTTAGATTTTGAATAATTAGAAAGAATTATACAGTGTGTGCTTGTTATTCATATCCTACATCATTTCACTTTCTGAAAGCTTGAAGCAAGCAACTTGCAATTTGTGCACACTCTCTAAATTGGACAGATTTGTGTCCAAATATTGAAAATATAATTGTAACTATAAAACTGAGTGTAAGTGTATAATAATTGGATTTTAAATCATTTGCTATGATGCTGAGTTGGATAAAATCAATATTTTAAATAAAGTGAGTATAACTATTTTGTTGATAAAGTTTGTTAGTATGTTGTACGAATCCTGTCAATTTATGGTTTATTCAACAAATCTGGTTAAGCAGACCATAAATTAGCAAATTATGCAAGCTCAAACATAAATTGATTATCTTCTAACTGAAGGAAGTTATATTGCAATTACATTTTGCAATCTCTGGGTTGGAAGCTATTTTAAAACTATCTACTGAATGTCATTTATACATAAAAGAAAATGCAAATCCCTGAAGGGAACAAGAACAATTACCGCAAAAAATATTTCATTAGTCTATCTTCAAGGTTAGTTACACACTAAAGTAGTGTTTCTCAACCTCAGCAATATTAGATTACAATATGAAACTTGTAGAAAAACAAACTATATTTCCAATAATATAATATAAGAATAATGTAATATAACATTTACCGTCCAATTTAATTTCTAGTCCTCTTTAAGTGATCAATTTAAATCTGCAAGAAGAGTAGCTTGTTACTTTCAGAGATGGAAAAGAAAAAAAATGTGGGTGAGTTGTAATTGTTATCTTCAGTCTTCAGCCCACCAAAACCCTACATTTCCCTACAAATCCCTTCTGAGAATGTGATCCCACCAAACTCTCCTCAATTTTAAAAGTTTTCAGGTTGTATCAAATTGAACAAAAAATTCTTAAAATACTACTAAAATACTATCTCACCTGCAAATGGTTGCCAGTTTATTTACACCAAAATACACATCAACAATAAAAAAGTTGATACGATAAAGTACTTTGGCTCTGCTTAATAATTGCTATGACCAAGTTTTTCTTTTTGAAACTCCTTAATTCAGTAGAATTCAGTAGCGAAGCTCTAGACATTTCACATCTTAAATTTGAATTAAAATATGAACATTGCCTAGATGATTAACTAATAAAACTGGAATCCATCACTGACCTTTTATTTTCACATTTCACATATACACAAATGTCAGAATCATAAATAGAAACTGTGGTTCTAGCCAATGAATAATTGTCTATTTTAACACGAGAGCTAAAATTTAGAGTATGCAGTGGAGTGGCAGAGGAACAATGAACAAGAAATCTGGTGATGATTCATTTCATAAATATAGCACAGTAGAATGCACAATGATTAACAAATCAATGGATATAGATTTATCAGAATGGATAGCTAGCAAAATTTAAAATATACTATACATATTTTCAGATGTATGAAGAAATACAAAATAGTTACTAATAGATTAAGATTATTCAAGATTACTTGTCCACTATTTCCCTGCTTTCATGTCACTTTTTTTCCCTTGGAATATGCAGTGTTAGTCCCAGCTGTGTGTGGTGTATATATATATAGTGCCTTTCAGACATTATTAAGATAAGATAGGCAAGGCAAGAGAAAAGAAGAGGAGACAAGAGGAGAGGAAAGGAGAGGAGAGGAGAAGATAATAAGGTAAGGTAAGAGATAAGATGATAAGATAAGATAAGATAAGATAAGATAAGATAAGATAAGATAACCTTTATTATCATTTTTTTTCTGTGGGTACACTGACACCTAATAAAAATTCTTGGCAACTGCTTAGTCTCAGAGACTGACTATTGATAATCATTTGAGGATAGGCTCAAAATTATATAAAATTTCAAAGACGAAAACCAACACAAAAATGTAAGCCCCAAAGCAAATGACAAAGCAGTGGCATAAAATAACTGGCAGTGCTATGCAAAGCAAGCAAAATTTATCTCATTTTGCTCCTAAATATGAGGAGCCCTGAAGTCTGGCATGCAAACCAATTCATCACCCTCCACTTAGAGTCAAACAACATACTCTCCCAAAAACAATTTGGTTTCAGGAAAAAATTGTCCTGCAACCTACAACTCCTACACTGCAAAAACATATGGACTACTCTACTCGACCAGGATAAAGCAATAGATGCAATTTACGTAGACTTCTGCAAAGCCTTTGATTCAGTGGTACATGACAAACTACTGTTAAAACTAAACTCTAAAGCATTTCTGGATCCCTTCATAAGTGGATTACTGTGTTCCTGTCAAACAGGCTACAGATAGTAAAAATAGGAAGCACTATATCAAACCCTGCTCCACTCAACAGTGGTGTCCCCCAAGGCAGTGTTTTAGGACCCACACTCTTTATACTCTATATAAAAGACCTTTGCAATCACCTTATTAGCAACTGCGTCCTCTTCGCTGATGATGTAAAACTATTCAACACCACCGACAATGCTACTGTTCTTCAAAGTGACCTTGATTATGTGTCTGAATGGTCAAACATTTGGCAACTCCAAATCTTCACCAACAAATGCTCTGTCCTATACATTGGTAAAAAAAAAATCAGTTCACCAAATACAAGCTAGGTGGATATGACCTTGTTGATGACCCTCACTCTGTCAAGGACCTTGGAGTACTCATATCTAATGATCTAAGTGCTAGAGCTCACTGTAACAGCATTGCCAAAAAGGCATTAAGAATTGTAAATCTAATCCTACGAAGCTTCTCCTCTGGAAATATTGAATTGCTAACTAGGGCATTCAAAACCTTTGCTAGACCAATACTCGAATACAGCTCATCTGTCTGGAATCAGCACTGTATATTGGACATTAATACAATTGTATGAGTCCAGAAGTATTTCACAAGAAGAGTACTACATTCCTCTGCTCGCAACAGAATACCTATACCACCAGGCTTGAAATTTTGGGCTTAGACAATCTTGAACTATGCTGCCTATGGTTGGACTTAAACATAGTACAAAAAGTTATCTTCTACAATGTCCTACCAGTCAATGACTACTTCAGCTTCAACCACAACAATACAAGAGCACACAACAGATACAAACTCAAATGTTAACCGCTCCAAACTTGATTGCAGAAAGTATGACTTCAGCAACAGAGTGTTCAATGCCTGGAATGCATTTCCTGACTGTTGTTACATCCTCAAACTCCCACTCTTTTAACCTCAAACTATCCACTATTGACCTCACCCCATTCCTAAGAGGTCTGTAGTGGGTGTGCATAAGTACACCATCATGCCTCCTGTCCCTGTACTATTGTCCCCATTTATTTGTACCTATTTCCTATATTCTTACTCATGTTTATACTTATACCTATTATCTTGTAAGTGATTGACAAATAAAATAAATAAAAAGTAAAAGTATTGAGTCTGGATCAATCCATCTCAATCTGCTATGTCAGCGTAAGCAATGGCTTTTGCCCTTCAGCAGAAGATCACTGAAGAGGTACATCAGTGGACAAAGAAAAGTAGCATGTCTGCTCCAATCCAATTGATGAACATGTTGCTTCACCTCACCAACTTGTATTAGTAAGAATGTTTTTTAAGTCACTTTCAAATTGTATCAGTTCATCTGCACAGCCTTATTTAATGGAATTCTCCACTCCTGGTTAGCAGCCATGGATCCTCGTTAAGCAAACTGAATCTTTCAAGTTGTTTTGTGAAACAGTTCCATATACAACAATTTTGTGCCTTTAGCAACAATGCTCAATCCAAGTGCAATATCCATTGTATTCTAAAGATTGTGGCAAGAGTTCAGAGAATTAGATAATGGATTGTATTTATAATATAATTTAAATCCAATTGTAAAAATAAAAATAGAAGTTGGATATTTGTGCCGTTCTTTTGCAATCTTGTCAGGTACAAGATTCATGTACATCACACATCTATAATATATGCTGCTTCTGACCTTTCAAATGCTTCATATAAGAAATAAAGGCAACTACAAATGAGACTATAAATGAAATTAGCAGCTCTTGTTTAGAACTTCTGACATTTCTCATAAGCAATATAAAATTTAAGTGAGAGCTATATTTAATGTAAATGTTAGTTGTGGAAATGGAACACCAAATTCAAATGTTCAGCACTATAATATTTCTGTTCAATTCTTACTTTAATAAAAGGGAAATGGAAAATTTTATAAATGTCAGAAATCAAAATTCATAATACTTTTCAGATAGCGCATTGGGCTGTCAAGTATAAAAGAAGTCAAATACTGTAAACTTATCAACCACAGAGAACCCAAAATCTTATGTATCATTTAATCAATCCCTTCTGGCAACTCTGGAACAAGACCAAAGGACATTAATATATATGTATATTATCACTGTCTTCATAGCTACCAAATTGATAAAGCAATATAAGGTAATTCCTCTAGTTACTTAATATAATATCGCAACAGTGGAAAACTCCAAGATGGAGTTTGTGAATAATGATGTGGCTACTATCATAATTAGAAAAGGCTGTCCTGGTACTCTTGTGCCTTGAAATAACTTATCTTTAACAAGGTCATCTGGAAAAGAATATGATGTTATTTTAAAAATGAATTTCTCAGTGTGTTTCCATTCCCCCCTCCCATATTAATGGGTGGGGGGAACCCATGTGCCAGTTTCTAGGAATAACAAGAGAGTACCATAGTGGTGGTAGCAAAATAAAGGGAAGGGACCAGGTGGCAATCCACTTTATCTAACCTGGAGGGACATGCAGATAACCTGAGGAAGAGCTGGTGCAGAAATCGTATAATATGGAGTGCAGAACTGCTTGTAACACCATATCCCATATTCATATAAGGAAGTCAATGAAGAGGGAAGTTGAGTCCTTTTCCTACTCTCCTGCTTTGCCTCCCGTAAATCAGTTGCTTCACTTTGCTCCTTTCCTGAAGTACTTTTACTGTTCGAGTAAGAGAAAGTAGCTTCTTCCACAGGTTCCTTTATCTGCTAAAATAACACTCTATGTCAGGGGTCCTCAACCCCAGGGTCTATGGACCGGCACCAGGCCACAACATGCCAGAAACCAGACCACGCAGACAAGCAGAACCTCATCTGTGGAATGCAGGCAGTACACAAAACCACATCCCCACCAGTCCATGGAAAAGCCTCTCTTCACAGAACCGGTCCCTAGTGCTCAAAAGGTTGGGGGCCACTGCTCTATGCTTTCATACTTTCTATATGAGAAGGAGACTATGATATACAGCCTTGCACCATTAGGCTGAAATAATTCAAATTCAATTCAACCGTTATAATAAGGAAAGAGTAGAGTCAGCCTTTTCTAAACTAAAATACATCAGAGTGCTAAAGCACGTCTTAGTTACAGATTTTGCCTCTCTTTTTAAATATCACTCTCTTTTTTTTGCGTTTGAAAGGCTTGACATTTTTTATCAGAGAAAAGTGTTTTTATAGCAGCACAATCAACACTAGCATTTTGTAGTTTTGAGAGGTAAAACAAGCACAGTTATGTTGCCTGGGAAAGTAATTCTACTTTTAGTGGCAAGTGACAAATCACAGATTAAAATGCTTCTGTACATCTGTACTAACATACCCGCCATTTACAAATGTTAACATAAAGGCTATAATAAATAATTGAAACAAATATTTAAATATTTTAACTTTGAAAACAACGGGTATGCCTAAGGAAAATATTACTTTATTCCTACTGTGTGAAATATTAATATAATTTTATTTTCATCCTGATTCTATAGTCATGTGGTTCTCATCAGAAGGCAGAATGGCTTTCTAGTTATTCAAAATGGTCTGATAAAAGATTACTATGGGTAGATATTCCTTACCGATCATTCCTCCAGCAACTGTTCAAAGTTGCAACAGCACTGAATGAGTGGTACTTACAACAGGTTCCTGAAGTTCTAGCCATTACATCACTCCTACAATCATGTGAATGCAATCTGGGCACTTGGCAATCAGTTTGCACTTGCAATGGTAACAGAATAGAATAGAATAGAATAGAATAGAATAGAATAGAATAGAATAG